GAGTTCATATGGAGCATGGAAGAAGGAAAATATGAAGTCAGCTAAATTGTAATGGATTTACTGACTTGATTGTGACTTGACCAGCAGTCGATGACTGATTTGTAGCTTTTTCAGACCGGAATAAACCAAGACGTGGTATTTTGGTGCAAACCCAAAGAGGAGTTTATTTACAATAGGAACCAGAAAAAAAAAAGTGGTGAGTACAATAATGACGTGCTTGAGGTTTGAAAACAAGACAAAAGATGCTGATGACCACAAGATAAATAGGCATTCGGTCATTAATCAAACAACCGCTGCTACCTTCCCTCAGCCTGTGGCAGTGTCTTGAACACAGCTGGTGTATCGGATCTCCACAGACCGCAGTCTTTATGCACACACAAACACCCATTTGTTTCAATGGGAGTTACACAGGAGGCCTTGCGACTTCAGCCACGGACTAAAGCTGCGCAGAAGGACAGCAGTCCTCCTAAGTACTGTGTGATTGCAGTACTTTGCAACATACATACCCAAGCTAACTTTAATCTAGCTAGCACGGGTACCAACAGTACTGAAGCCACAGTAGCATGGACTTCAGCGCAGACTAGTTGCTTGAGTAATTACCTAAGGTTCTGGACAGGCTCGAATGGCCTGTGTTGAAATCTGTGCATCTGCAATTCCACTGGTCAGGTATCCACACTAGCTAGGTTAAAGCTAGCTTGGGTATGTATGTTGCAATCACACACCCCAGTTACAGTGTAGATGTATCATGAAACAGATACAACCTCATCTCCAACTATAACACACAGTGAAATGTTCTCCACAATCTGTCGGAGGCCACAGGCACACAACACTCAATCTATTTGTAGAGGGGGCCTGCACAGCTGCCACCCACTTGCTCTGATATTGCAAGTGGAAGCTTGTGCTCTACGTTAGCAAGTAAACAGGCCGTGCCCCTACCTGCCTCTTGGACCCTGGAGTTATTGGCTCCATAGCCAATGTTCTGGGAATTGCTTTCAACAAGAACATTCTCTTGAGAGTGAAAATAAAACAGAAAATACACTCAGCTCATGGGAACAAGCAAGGGAGTTGCTCTTTTGGAACATTTCACTGCTCCAGTTCAGATGTGTTACACTGGTGTAAACTGGAGTAAGTCTGACTACACTGGAGCAGCACATCACCACCACCTTGGTTCCTGTGTAGCTGCATTGGTGTATGCTACGCTGATGCAAGACACCCTTGCACAGACATGGCTTTGGAAAAGGGTAAGAAACAAGGGAATATATACAGAGAGAATGCAGGTTTAAACCAGAGAGAGGCAGACTAGCCCTATGCAGACTCCTAATGAGAGATCCCCTGGAAATCATATAACCCACTCCTCTGCTCCATTGCTTCTCTGCTCTGTTTTGTCAGTCTCCCTGAGCCGCCTCTGCCACTAGCCCCATGGAGCTCTGGGAGGAAATGTGCCACAGGCCCCACAGTGCGAGGGCTGCAGCCAGCTGCAGGAGCCCTGTCAATGGGGTCCAGTGGAGTCTCACTGCCAGGAAGCTGTCTGTGTGTGGGAGGTTGGCATGGGGCAGGGGTTGGGTGCATGCATGTGTGTGGGAGACCCAGATGAAACACGGAAACCCATGGAAGGTCCCTGAGATTTGGGGCAGAACCTACAGCCTGTTTTGGAGGAGTGCAAACCTCACCATAATGAGAACAGGGCCAAATGTCAGCCAGAACTGGAATGATCTGGCCCATACTGTAGTTTCCATATCCTGGGTGTGCAAAAATCACATGACACTGCACCTGCTGTGAAGAAACAGTTGTCTCTATTTTTATATATGTGCTGCAGACCTACCATAACTGGGTGGGTTAAAGATAGACTTTCATCTTTAAAAGTGTATTTAAACTGCACGATGAGACTTTAAATGTTACATGTAATGCCACCAACACAAGTGTAAAAATGGGGAAATGAACAGTTCAGACATCAGCAAACCATCTGCAAGCAGAAATCTTTGGCATAATGCACACTCCTTGTAGCACACATTTGCCTATTCTGCTAATATAGGTGTGCCATATAGAAACTGCACTAGTCCAAGTTTGTTTCTTAGAAATTACACCACGAGGCCTGATGTTCCTTCCTTAATTAAATGTGACGTTTTCACTGCCTATGTATGGTGGAACCATGCTAATCCTGGTCCTAGAGCATAACTAGAGCAGCCATGCTGTGTGCTGGGGAACACTTTGGAAACTGATGGTGAAAGCAGCCCTTTCCCCATATAGCCGAGGGGTCTAAAACTGGAGTAGGCTACACAGCAGCATCTATGACCCATTTTATATAGGGGGCCATGGCTGTTGACCTATACGCCATCAAATTCACCTATCCCACTTTCTTCCTATGGATTTGTGGTGTGCAGTGAATCCCCATGAAGCCAGGCTCTGGCACAGGGTGTGTGAGTAGCTAGCTCTGTGTGGCATCCTCAAGGCCTGTCCTCAATGGATCCACATCAGTTCTACTGTAGGCAGAACCCTCCGCGACCCTGGTGGAAGGGCAGGTTTTGCCCCATAACAAATTGCTACTTTACCAATATCCTGAAATAAATCCTATAAGGCTTTTTAATTTTTCAGAGTTTGGAAATAACATTCCAGGTTTGACTGAACTTTTAAAACTTGGTAACATAAGAATGCCTAGGATCAATGATGTTGCCTCCCAGAAGAACTGGAGCCAAAGTTGGATTGCTTTGCCTGTGTGTGTATTGGCGGGGCAGCTACATCTTCTTAGGGTCAGTGGGGTTGGAATCCTGAGTTAGTAATAACATATGCAGCCTTCCACTTCTAGGAGAAATAAGAGACTGGCCAAATTATTTTAATTTTTATTTTTATTATTCCATTAAACCCCAATTTGGTCGTGACTGAAAGTCATTGCAATATGTGGCATATGGGAAATCAATAGGTGGTCTTAGCCCATTTCTAGGTGGATATAGTATCCACATCCTACAAGCAATCCTCCTAACTGGCATCAGTTGTGCCTCTAGAGAGGCTCTGGATTGAATAGACCCACTGAACTGTCTGACTCTCACTCTAGAATAGGATTAAGGCATGTCAGTGGGACAGTGTGGGGAAGCTCTTACTTCTGTACCTGCTCTTCGTGGATTTCTGTCTCCAGAGTTGTCAGTCATGCCCCTTTCACCAGCTCAAAATTAAATCGGGTTTAATTTTTTTTTTAAAAGAAGTGAATCATGAGGCGAGAGATGCTATTGGTAGTGGGATTCCATTGACTCATGGGGCAAGTAACTGCAGAAAAGGGAGCACCTTGTTACAATAAACCTGTACTGCACTTTACTTCAGAAAATCCTGTGCAGTCAAAACATCAGCCTAGATTCTTAGCAGCTTGCTGATTGCTCAGTTATCCAGTTTTGTCTATTTGTAGGTTTTTTCAGCATTATCCAAGGCTGAAACAACTTTAAACTAAAAAAAAAGGAAAGTAGGTTGTGAAATTTAGTCACATTGCCAACCCCAGGATTATGTAGTTTGATTTCCCTGTTATACTATAAAACAGACTGTAGGGTTGCATTTCCTTCCATTCTTGCGTGGCAGAACATTAAATAATAGTATCTACACTGTAATATATTTTCTTCACTTACAGAATTTGATTAATGAGTGGGGGAGGAGGATCATGTGGTTAAGACATAGGACTGGATGTTAATTGATTATTGCTGGTAAAATGCTTTGAGATTCTTGCATCTAACTGAGTGAGTACTGTTCCTTGTTATAACACCGTGTAGATGTTTTGGAAAATTGCAAAGTAGGATTGTTACTGTAATGCCCGTGCTAAGAGTTGGTTGAAGTAGGATAAAGAATGTCATTTTCAACACTTCCATAACTGTCGGGAGTCTTCTAGATGACCTGCTTTAAATCTAACTGACATGGTAACAGACAAAAAGATGCACCTTTCCATGCAAGTATTATGCCTGTATTTAGTTTGGGGTCTTGGTAGGTACTTTTGGTTTTATTTTTGTTTTGTTTAGTTTTTGGTGCAGTTTCACCTTGATGAAATGCTTAGCAAAACCACAAGACAGTTGCATTCCATCTACAAGGAAGGAGATGGGTCTTGGAACAAGTATTCTAATCCCGTGTCACTGAAGTCTCTCTTTGGTAAATCAGGGACCTGCTCTGTGCCTCAGTTTCCCCATCTTAAAAAAAGAATACCAAACTCACTAAGGATTAGTCAGTGTTTGGAAAGCACAATATAATCATTATTTTATGTGCTATTAGAATATTAATAACATGCCAGTGTGTCTTTGTAAATCAAATCTACGTTGTGTGTCTAATTTCTAATATGCAAAGATCCCAGGAAACTTTTTGAATAAGAAGTAAAGAGAAAAACATTTTGTTGTTGTGAATACATAACGGAGGGGGTATAATATTTGCCTGAAATGGAAAACAGTAGCAGGTTACAGCAAATATAACAGTATATACACACAAAATATGATAAGCTTTCAAATACCTGAGGATTCAGCAGTGCAACTGCCATTACATTCACTAGGAATCACAGGATTAAATCTGTGTAACACAGTGAAAAGATACCTAGTCTGAGATCTGTTATCCCCTATTTGCACAATATGGTTAATTAGTCAATGCAAATGGAACTCATGCATGAGAACTGAGAAATTCCTGATTTAAAAAAAAAATAGAAAAGCAGGATTATTGAAGTGTATTGTTCACATCTGCACGTTTTTCAGAAGTTGGTAAGTCACTAAAAACCTAGTCAGCTATCAAATGAAACCTTTAACAGACAATTGTAAAGTACATTCAACAAATATTGTTGTCTATATTTAATAGTCATGCATATTTATTTCAAGTGACTGAAGTAATAACAAACTTACCATTAAATAGAAGCAATTCATTCACTGCTGTGCACTGTCAGTCACTGACCCATGCTACTTGTAGAGTACAAGGAAAAGCAGCACATGTCCCCTTACAAACACTGTCCATCATTAAATTAGTGGGAAGGAAGGAAAACAGCTGACACTTACTATCAATATAAATGTTCCCAGGAATTCTGACAGGGCTTCTTTTATAAAGCTGTTCTTTAAGGCAAATTTCTCCTTGAACGTTCTTTTGCTTTGCCCGTTCATTTTTTGGTTCCTCTTGTTGCTCTATAATGCCAGTTATGCACCAACACAGACCCCTTAAATTTGCTGTGTAATCATGCTTCAGCTGAACTTTGACACTTTTACTTATACATTGAAATATGAGATTTTGACATCTGTGCTGCCAGTGGAATCATCTGACTGTGCAGGCATTGACTGGATCCCCTGGACGTGACCTGATGATTCATCATGAGCTTTCCATCCTGTGCGATATCTGAGTTTGCTGGCTTCTATTTATATTAGCAGAACGAGATAATACTGGAAACCTCACAATCACAAGCTGATGGACTTTTTTTTCTTCTAATTCCACATAGACTGGATTAATCATTGTCTTCCCCCCAAGGTTACCTTTTACCAAGGTAAACTTTTGTGTGTTTATTTCCCCAAAAGATGAGAAGGGGAGAGATTATATAAACTGCCAAATATGGAAGCAAGCCCTTGGTTTTGCTCCCAGATGGAATTAAAGTTATGCAGTTGTTGGCCATTTGAAACCTTTCTGCAAAGGAGGCTGTGCCAGTGAGTGAGTGCTTGCCAAAGAAATGTGCTCTAGCCTGCCTGCCTTTCTTTTCTTTTCTTTTCTTTTCTTTTCTTTTCTTTTCTTTTCTTTTCAAGAAAAAAAAAATCACATTCTGTACAGTTTAGAGAGATTTCAGTGCCTAATGAAGAATGCTGCTTTAGAAGTGCTGTGATTTTGTACATCCATGGACTGAATAGTAATACACTTCTTGGACTAAATGCTTTAACTCTCCAGTGGTGAGAGAGGCCTGTTTATGAGAGCAATGAGGCAGAATAATGTAAACCCCTCTAATGAAATCGGCTTCAATCCAGTGGCTTTCTACAGTGTGATATAGTCTGGTGAAGGACTGAAAAAGAGTGTATGCCTCCAAAATGTTTAGCTTAATTGTAGTCCCTATTTTGAAGTAAAACTGACCAGGGGCTTGATCCTGCAAGGTATTCAGAACCTGATTTCCCACTGACATGAAAGAGAGCTGAAGGTTCTGAGCACCCTACAGAATCAGGCCCAGTGTGGAATAATATTTCTACAGTGAAACATTCATCTGCTTTTCTTTAAAAAGCTATTAGCATCTTGGTTGTTCCTATCAGATGTCACTGACTCAATTGACACATTGATTGATTGACTTGAACAAGTTGATGCATTATTTCATCCGTTGGCTTTATTTGTATTAAATACAGGAATATCCAGAGCCTAATCCTGGTAGGTGACTTCATGATGAGTTGGGGATGCACAGGGTCTGGTGCTGTGTCTACACCTGGGGTCTTTTGGATCCCTGGTGTATATTTACACTGCATTTAGACACCTGTGGCTGGCCTGCGTCAGCTGACTCCAGGGATGAAACTATGCCGGAGTCCTGAGCGGGGGCGTGGCCTCAACCAGAAGAGGTGTGGCCTTAACCGGAAGAGGTGGGGCCTTTACATCCCCCCTGGCAGCTCCCAGCTGCAGAGGCGGCTGGGAGCTCAGGGGTGATTTAAAGGGCCCGGGGCTCCAGCCACTGCTACTGCAGTGGAGCTCTGGGCCCTTTAAATTGCTGCCCGAGCCTGGCTGCCAGAGCCCCGGGGTAGCGGTGGCACGGCTCAGGCGGTGCTTTAAAGGGCCCTGGGCTCCTGCCACTGCGGGGAGCCCCGGGCCCTTTAAATTGCCTCCTGAGCCCCGCTGCCGGAGTCCCAGGGTAGCGGCAGCAGGGCTCTGGTGGTGATTTAAAGGGCCCGGGCTCCCCACAGCGGCCAGAGCCCTGGGCCCTTTAAATCATCACTGGAGCCCTGCCATCGCAACCCCAGGGCTCCGGCAGCGGGGCTCAGGAGGCAATTTAAAGGGCTTGGGGCTCCGGCTGCTGCAAGGAGCTCCCAGGGGGGATTTAAAGGCCCCACCTCTTCCGCTGCAGGGAGCCCCGAGCCCTTTAAATTGCCAGCCTGGGGAAGCCGGTCTGGTCTGGCACGGCGTACCAGCTCTTGCTGGTACACCGGACCAGCTTACTTGCACCTCTGGCTGACTCAGGCTCACAGGGCTTGGCTAAGGGGCTGTTTAACTGTGGTGTAGACTTTTGGGCTCGAGCCCAACCTCTAGGATGCTAGGAGGAGGGAGGGACCCAGACATCAGGCTCTAGCCTGAGTCTGAACATCTAAACTGCAATTAAAGACCTCTTAGCCTGAACCAGCTGACATGGGCCAGCTGTGGGTTTTTAATTGCAGTGTAGGCATATCCACAGTTCCCAGTGGCTGCATTTCCACTGGTGGGTTAGATGCCGCAGTGATAATGATGTCTAAGCCTTGTTTATGCTATTCCTGTCTCCAGCAGTGCTGTACCCATAGAGTATTAGGTGTCTGAAATATTCTAGTGTAAATAAGGCTTTGTAGAAGGCAGCAGCACCTTGCAGCATCAGGAATATAGGGCCTGACCTAAAGCCGACTAAAATCAGTGGGAATTCCCATTCCCATGAACGTCAGTGGATTTTGGATCTGGCCCATACAGAATAAGGGCCTGATTCTGCAGGATCAGGTTAAGGGTAAAATTTACTTCCCTCACTCAAGTCTTCTACTCCAATTGCTTCAGCTGAGTTATTCCAGAGATCACTCTGGTTTCGTGCAACTTTGGGGTGTAATCTGATTATAACCCAATTTATTACATTTTGGGAGACACCTTTGCATTACTACATCACAAAGCTACATGTTCAGGATATTAGTTATTGCAGCATATAAAAGGTACAACTTTATTATGGCTCTGAAAGGAAAAGACTTGCATAATTGTGTGTGTTTAAAAAAAAATTGCAGCAGGACACGTTAATTACAGCAAGAATGAGGTGAACATGGTGTTTCTTCCTTGAAAGATGAGACATAAGTGGTGTACTTAAGAAAAGTAATTGATTAAGATAAATGTTGATAGCAATTCCTTCTCTAATAGAGGCCTAGATTGTGGCAGATAGCCACAGACCTGAGTAGGGAGGCAATGTAGAGCTGCATTGTTCCAGAGTTGCACTGCATTTCTGTATCCCTTTACGTGCTCAAAGGGCGGTGTGATGATCACCTCGTTAATCCTCACAACAGGTGCGCAAGGTTTGGTAGCCCCATTTTTGGTAGCTGGAGATACTGTGGGAGGGAGAGTTGGCTGAAGCCACAGAGTAGAGTCAGTGGCACATCCAAGACTATGACTCAAGACCTCCTCATTCCCAACTCCATGCTCATTTCTCCAGACCACATTGCTTTCCCCACAGTGCTTTTGTTCCTTGACTAGGTGAGCATAACTCTGAGAATCCGCTTTGGAGTGCCAATACCTACACTTAAAAGATCTGAATTTGCTTTCTTCAAATATTCTTTAATGTTTGCTTAAAATTTGCAGTTTTCACATATATTCTTCCCATTAAAGTCATTGGCTAGAATCTTTGCAGAAAGCCAATACAAAAGGGGCACAAACACAGCTGTAGTGAATTCAGTTTATCATTTGAGTGATAATCACAGCAGGTTTATTGAGGTATTCTCCCAGTTCTAACAAATATCTAGATGGCATTGGGGGGGAAGAACACATGAAATGTTAGGAAAAAGAAATGCTATTAAACATTTAAAACCTTAATTAGTAATCCATGCAACCTACCTTTCCTGTTACTGCTCCTTTACTCCGTAGAGAGTTGGACTGCCCAATTAAACAGCGGTCAGATGATAACACCATGATTACTGTTTTCTACTAGTCTCACTCATTCTCAGGTTTACCATCTTGGCCCTGCTCGCCGTGTCATAATGGTAGGAATACTGGCAATGCCAAACAGATGACACGAGCACCCTTCAAAGCTGTCAGGGTAACTTAGAGCCTAAAAACCTGACAACTGGGATGGAACTCCCCAGGTCCAGGCAGTAAGCACCACTACTCTGCACCAGCATCTCTGGACTGTGATTAATCCTGGCCTTTGGCCATCGCTCATGTGGAAAGGCTGCTATTTCTGCAAAGAGGTGGAGACGGTCGCACATGTGCAGAACAGCACAAGGAGACGAATGCTCTCTGCCTGTAGTTCATTGATTTTTGCCAGTGATGTTTCATCTGGACTTGAGTTTCCCATGTGTGTAACGTATACAGTTTAAGTTTCTTTAAATGGAATTCAGGTGACTGAAAGCAGGGAGGCCAATGCTTTTTAAAAAGGGAAAGAATGTCTACAATATTAATGTGATCCATTCTTGACTGTACCTATACTGTAGCCACAGAACTGGGCCCCACAAATTGTGCCATTACATCCGTGAAATCTGCATTGAAGTACTTTGGCCCTATGTCTATATCCAAGCAGAATAGGAATGAGAAAGGGTTATATACAGACTGTATTATTCTACCTTCCTTACATTCCCCCTCATGCTTTGCCCTACAGAAATAAAGAATAATGCTGCTGTGTATTGTTCCCAGAGCTTAATTCTCAGGGGTATACAGCACTGAGTTCTTAACAGGATAGTTTTCCGAGTATCACATAAATCATTATTGATATAAGTTCTAAACCCAACACAGCTAGGGTGAGCAAGTTTATTAACATGCAACACAATGCACCTTTCAGTATTTGTATTGTAATATGGGCAAAATTTTTCCCTACTGTAAATCTCTTGGTTTTAGTTGAGCTACGCCAGGGGCAAATATGTCCAAAACTTCCTGTCCGTATGCAAATTTATTCACCCAACTCACAGAAAAATTACTACACAATCTTTGAAAGATTTTCTCTAGTAAGTGAATCATTGCTACTGCTGGTGCATTCAAAGAAAACAACTATTTTATGATTAGCTGAACAGATTCAAATGCAGCATTACTGATTCTTTGACTACCTAAGGAACAGATTTTCAGACCATCTTTCCCTTTCTGGTCTGTCTCCATCTATCCTTTGCTGTAAATACTAACGTGAATCAGATATAGGAGTAAAAGATCTCAGGCCATAGAAGAAACATCAGCCCCTTGGAGTGACAAACTTGAAAGATTCCTATGAATTCATGTTACATCTATTAGTAAACACTTTAAGCATATTTCACATTGGCTATAGCCTTAAGGGCCTGATCCAAAGCCCACTGCAGTCAGTGAGAGTCCTGTAAACTCCTTGGGGCAAAGCCAACAGCTCTTTGTTCTGTAAAAGGCTGAATACACCATTGGGTCTCAGAAAATAACAAATAATGATAACATTTTAGAAGATACAGAAGTGCAGTGTGACAGGGTGGTGGGCATGATCAGCCCCCTGCCACTTAATCAGCCCCCTGCCACAACAGCCCCAATCAAGGGGAATGGATTGGAGTTGGCTGAATAGCCCTGCCTGCTTGGCAACTAGAAACAGCTGCCAGCCTAATTAGCCAGGGGCTATAAAGGCGAGGAGGGGGAAAGAAAGGCCAGAGGCTGAGAAGGGCTGGTGGCTCTGGCCTGTTGCTGGTGAAGTCTGGCTGTAAAACCCTGAACAAA